TTACACACACACACAAACACACACAAACACACACACACACACACACACACATCCTGCCTTTTATAGATAGAGATTACTCAGATTGTCCTGACGATGTTATATGAATGAAGGACAGCGAAAATTCAACATACCAGCAATGTCTTTTTAAGACTAACCATCTAACAACTGCCTCATAGAAGACCCCATATATATATATATATATATATATATATATATATATATATATATATATATATATATGCGAAAGAGTCTCAGTATAATTTTTATTGTATATTTGGACGCCTTGATGTTTTTAGCATTTTGACCGATCTATATTTCAGTCTTGATCAAATATGATATTAAAAATAAACAGATTCAAAGAATAGAAAAATGAAACCGTTGAAGACAAATGAAGTCAGCATTCTGAATAAAATTTGGAATGTTAATGGTCATCATCATTTATGCGCCATGTCCCTGCGGTGTGTGAACAAACGTGTCTCTCCATAATTGCCTGTCCCTTTATAAGTCTAAGCATATTTTTTACTATTTACCATCTCTCCTTGTCCCAGCTCTGTTATCCGCTCACACAACCACATCAGGTAAATTGTGTGCTCTTTCTCTCTAACCTAACTTTCTTTAAAATCATTTCACCCCCCATGCAATGCCACTCGGGGGTTACAGGGCAACTAGGTCTTGTCGTTTTACTTTTGAACTAGCTAGATGCAACCGCCACTTCTATTTTAGCAGTTTCTCTTCTCGCATTTCTCGCCTGTGGAACTTCTTTCTGGGTTTGTTATGTGATTGATTCTGTCCTGCCATCTTGACTTCAATCACTTTCTCACAGTGAAATAGAATGAGAAACCTTGGGTGGGGAAAAGGACAATAAGTAAACGGGTTCAGAAAGACAAAAAATGAAGATTGACGTTGCATTTAAACTTTTGAAGATTGTAGGGAAGCGAAAAATCGGAATGGAGTTCCAGAATCGAAGAAAAGGATTTATTAGAATAGAAGTGGCACTTGCATCTAGTTATTAGGTTGGTGCAAAAACAATGACGTAATAATGTCGTTTTGACGTTAAAAATACGTCAAAAAATGACATTATTACGTCATTATTTTTGCACCAACCTAATAGATCAAAAAAAAAACGGTGTCACCAATCTCACCAATCTAGTATCACGTTTAAATTCATGTAGTCGAGGCCCTCCTTTAGTACGCCTTTTTGGGATGTCATCTGATATAATGGAATATCCATACACCTGTGTTCCCACTCACTGGAATATGATTGGCTGGTGTCCGTCATAAATACCGACGGACGTGTAGGAGAGCCGAGAGCATTAGTCTGAGAGCTAAGTCTATAACGACGCCCATTGGACTACGCCATTGATCTACACTTCTTACCTGCGACTACGACGCGTACGTACCAGTCGACTACTGTTCAAATACCGTATTCATCATCGAACACTTTGCAACTTTTGCCATGTCATAGTAGCCAAAACCACTTAGTACGCCGTTGAACAATACTGGTGTCAGACGTTCAAATATATCCCTTCCGGACATATCATCATCGAACAAATGGGATCTGTGTTTGCATTGTATTTATAGAAAAGGCAACATCTTTTTGAAACTGTCTTTCGTTTCACAACGGTAGGAAAGATATATATATATAAGATGTCGGGTCAAGATCGATTACATTACAGATCCGAAAGGGAATTTAGCAGGCGTGAAAAGAAATTGTTAGAATAGAAATGCTAATTTAAGACGCCTTGTGAGTATTCAATTTTCCAAACCGGTCTTTCTCATTATGTATCGTAGAAATTTCAACTTTATTTTTCTGGTTTCAAGTCTTTCTAATCCTTCGTTGCTCAAAGGTTTCGGCCATGCTATTCACAGAATTCATCTGTAGTACTAAGAGTTTAAATAAAAAATATCTATATTTTCGTTATAACATATCTTTAGGTGTGTTATACCGCCTTCTACTCACCCAAGCTTATAGTGAGAGTGTATATGTGTATATATGAGATTACAGGTGTGTCAAAGAGAGTGTATGAATGAGAGTAACGTGAGGGAGAGAAGGCATGAAAATGTATGTGAGTTTGAGTATAATTTAAAGAATTCATATATGTGTAACAGAAGGTGAGTGTATGTGTGAGAGCATTAGTGTATGAGCGGGATTGAGAAAGAAAGAAAGAAAGAAAGAAAGAAAGAAAGAAAGAAAGAACGAGAGTGAAAGGGTACATGTAGATGAGTGCGTGAAAAGGTGCGGGAAAATGGTATAGACAGTGTGCCGGTCCGCGAGAAAAAAAGTGTGAGAGAATGGGTGAATGAATAAGAGAGTCTAGGTGTGTGAGAGAGAGAAAGTATTGCTAGTGAGTGAGAGAGAGAGAGAGGGGGTGCGTATGAGAGAGAGGGTGCGTATGAGAGAGAGAGGAGGGAGAAAGAGAAGAAAAGAGTGAGAAAAACAGTGGGAGAATGTTTGAGTGAATGAGAGAGTCTAGGTGTGTGTGTGTGAGGGAAAGTGTGTGCAAGTGTATGCGTCAGAGAGAGCGAGAAAGAATGTGTGAGAAAAAGGGTGTGGGAGAAAGGTGTCTATGTGTGTGGCGGAAAGTGTGTGTAAGTGTGTGCGTGAGAGAGAGAAAGAAATAGTGAGAAAGAGGGTGTGAGAGAATGCTTGAATGAATGCGAGAGTCTAAGTGTCTGTGAAAGTGTGAGAAAGAGTGTGCATATAAGTATGAGAATATACGTCATGTGTGTGTGAGAGAGCGTGTGTGTATGTGTAAGATAGAGTGAGAGAAAGTATATGACAGTGTGTGTCTGTGTGCGTATAAACACATCTGCGAAAGACAGTGTGTCAATGCGCCAAAGAAATACATGTGTGCATGTGTATCTCTGTGCGTATGTGTCTGTGTGCGAGAGAGTGTTGGGAAGTGTACGTGTGTAAGAATCTACTAGTGTGTTCGTTTGTAGGAGAAAATACACGACAATGTGTTTCTGTATGTGTAAAATCGCCGAAACCTACAAAAAAGACGCTGTGTGTATACGAGAGAGAAATGTATGTGTGAATGTGTGTGCGTGTGTATGTACAAAGGGAACTTGTATATGTGTGAGAGTTGTGAGAGAGCCAAAGGGAATAAATTCGAAATTGTTTTTTATTTGTCTCAGCCTCTTTGCCAACGTGTACCTATGTCAATAATGTTTTTTCCTCCCTGTGTCTCGTAATAGATGTCTATGTTTCTCGACGCATGCGTGTTTTAGCAAAGGGCGAACTGCCCTTGATAAGTCGAAATAAAATCCTCCGATCGCAGGTTCTGTTATTACAACCACAGACTTTAATTACAAAACTATTCGGCCACGAGTTGAATCATGTATTTTTAATTGGACAAGAAACACAATTAAAAGAAATTGTACAAATAAAATTTCTAATGTATAAAAATAATCATTGTAAAAATACATTACACCATTTCTACAGAACGTTGGCGCCACCCACACAAACATAATAATGCATTTTGCCTTTTTTAAAGAACAAGCAAAAATATATTTTAGTTTTTAAACAACTAAAAATAAAAGTAAACTGTTTTTTTTTTTTTTAAATTTAAAAGAAAAAATAAATAAATGAAGTCAATCCCTTTTTTCGGTTAAAAAATAGAAATAAAATCATTCAACCATAATTTGTTTCTTCAATGTTCCGGGTATGGCCGAACAATAATGTCCATTTTATACTGCACCAATTTGAGCATAATTATTATTATTGTTACTCTTATTACTACTACTAATAATATTATCATTATTATTATTATTATTATTGTTACTTTTATTATTATTATTATTATTATTACTACTACTACGTCTAATATTATCATTATTACTATTATTATTGTTGTTACTTTTACTATTATTGCTATTATTTTTATTACTACTACTAATATCATTATTACTATTATTATTATTATTATTGTTACTTTTATTATTATTTCTATTATTATTACTACTACTAATATTATCATTATTACTATTATTATTTTTATTGTTACTTTATTATTATTGCTATTATTATTATTATTACTACTACTACTAATATTATCATTATTACTATTATTATTATTATTATTTTTGTTACCTTTGTTATTATTGCTATTATTATTAGTATTACTATTACTAACATTATTACTATTATTGTTATTATTGTTACTTTTATTATTATTGCTATTATTACTACTACTGCTACTAATATTATCATTATTACTATTATTATTATTGTTACTTTTATTATTATTGCTATTATTATTACTACTATTAATATCATTATTGATATTATTATTATTATTATTACTACTACTAATATTATCATTATTACTGTTATTATTATTATTGTTACTTTTATTATTATTGGTATTATTATTATTATTACTGCTACTATTATCATTATTGCTATTATTATTATTGTTGCTTTTATTATTATTGCTATTATTATTATTATTATTACTACTATTATCATTATTAATATTATTATTATTGCTGCTATTATTATTACTATTATTATTACTACTACTATTATTATTATTCTATTATAATTGTTACTATTATTACTAATATTATTATTATTACATCTACTATTATTATTTTATCATTACTGCTAATACTACTTATTTTTATTATTTTTATTATTTCCTCCGCGAAAAACAAAAAGTGTAACTAGCTTTCGTGCAACCTGTCTTTAAAAATACATTCAGTTTAAAATTCGTTATTATTTAAAGCAAAACAAACCAAATAGATTGAAAATTAAGAAAGCAAAATATTGGCAGCTGGTGATAAGATAGTTCTTGGCTTGTAGACAGGTTTGGGCATCTGCTATTTCGTTCAAGACTCGCTTTGGTGATTCCTTCAAAAAAAAAAAATACTTTATATCCTGCAGCGATTTATGCCTTTATTTGTTCTTGTAAAAAAAAAAAGAAAGATATTTATAATGAGAAGAATAAAATTAATTTCTGTCTTCTTTCTTGTTGATTTAAAATAATTCTAATATTATGGCTGCTTTGCGTTTGTCTACTTTATTTTTCATCACCTTATTCACTTTTCATTCTTTTCTCTCTCTCTCTCTCTCTCTCTCTTCCTCCTCCTCCTCATTTCCCTTGTTCCTTTTTTCGTCACGTTCTCTTCATCTTTTCTTTTCTCCTCTCCTTTTCATTTTTTTTCATTTCTCTTCCACTTTTTTTCCTCCATCATATTCTCTTCTTTACTCGTCTTCTCTTCCTCCTCTTTTTTATTTATTCACCTTTTCTTTCTTTCTTTCTTTCTTTCTTTTTCTTCTTCATTCGTTTTTATTCACGTTCTCTCCTTCTGTCTCTTCTGCCACTTCATTTTCTCTTTCCTCTTTCCTCCTCCTTCTCTTCTTTGTCCTGTTCTTTTTTAATGAAGTTTTCTTCCAATTATCCTGCTCCCTCATACTCTCTTCTTTACATCTCTTCTCCTCCTCATCTTCCTCATATTTCTTAGCTTATTATCCTTTTCTTTTTTTCTGAACGTTCTTCTTCTTCATTCTTTTTATTCACGTTCTCTTAACTTTCACCCTCTTCCTTTTCTTTTTTTTCTTTTTTCGCCTCCTCTTTTTTTCTTTTCATTTTCTTTGTTCTCTTCCACTTCTCCTTCTCCTTCGTATTTACTTCTTTACTACTTTTCTCTTCCTCCTCTTTCTTTATTTATTCACAGTTTCTTTTTCTTTCTTTCTATTTTTCTCTTTCTTTCTTTCTTTCTTCTACTTCTCTATCATATTCACTTCTTTTCTCTTCCTCCTCTTTCTTTATTTATTCAGTTTCTTTTTTCTTTCTTTCTATTTTTTCTCTTCCTTTCTTTCTTTCTTTCTTTTTTTCTTTCTTTCTTTCTTTCTTTCTTTCTTTCTTTCTTCTCCTTCTCTATCATATTCACTTCTTTTCCCTTCCTCCTCTTTCTTTATTTATTCACAGTTTCTTTTTTCTTTCTTTCTATTTTTTCTCTTTCTTTCTTTCTTTCTTACTTCTCCTTCTCTATCATATTCACTTCTTTTCTCTTCCTCCTCTTTCTTTGTTTATTCACAGTTTCTTTTTTCTTTCTTTCTATTTATTTCACTTTCTTTCTTTCATTCTTTCTTTCTTATTTCTCCTTCTCTATTATATTTACTTCTTTTCTCTTTCTCTTCTTTCTTTGTTTATTCCTCCTTTCTTTGCTTCTTTCTTTTTCTTCTCATTCTCTTTCATATTCTATTCTTTTCTTTTTCTTCTCTTTCTTTGTTAATTCACCCTTTCTTTTTTGCTTCTTTCTTTTTTCTTTCTTTTTTTCTTCTTATTCACGTGCATATTCACTTCTTTTCTCTTTCTCCTCTTTCTTTGTTAATTCACCCTTCTTCTCTTTGCTTCTTTCTTTTACTTTTCTTTCTCTTTCATATTCACTTCTTTTCTCTTTCTCCTCTTTGTTTGTTAATTCACCCTTTCTTTCTTTATTTTTTCTTCTCATTCGCTTCTCCACTTTCTTTTATTCTCCTTTTTTCTCACGATCCTCTTTTCTTGCTTTTTTTCCTTTTCTTTCTCTTCGTCTTTCTTCTTTTCTGTTCTATTTTCTTCTCTTCTCTTCTTTCTTTTCGTTCTTTTCTTTCTCCTTTTTCTTTTCTAATCCTCCTTCTCTCTCTTTTCCCCGTCAACGTCTTCTTTGCTCATATTTCATTAACGCCTTTATATTTTCTTTTCCTCATTTTTTTTTCTTTTTATCATCATCTTTTTTAAGTTTTCTCCTTTTATTTTTCCTTCTTTTTCTTCTTCTTCTTCCCTTTCTTATTCTTTTCTATTTGTTCTTTTACTCATTTTTCAGCATCGTGCATTTTTTTCTCTTTCTTTTCTCCCCTTCCACCGTTCGACTTTCATATTTTTCTTCTTCTCTCCCACTCCTCTGCATTTCTTATCTTCTTCTTCTTCGCCTCATTCTTTTCCCCACTTTCTGATACTATTCCTGCCTGCTTCTTTACTTATTCTCCTCATCCTTCTACTCACAGATCTTCCTCTTCTATCTGTTTCCTCTCTTTAGTATTTCTTTATTTTCACATTGATTCCTCCACAACCAAACTCCTCCACTTCCTCCTATTTTTCCCTCCTTCTTTGTCTTCTACCGGAGCTGATAATTGGACAAGCGCACGCAATTACCAAATCTTTCGCCCACTCCCTCTTACTATTACCGTCTTTCGACTCCTACTTCTCTCAACTGTCCTACCTTCTTTCCCAACCAACCACATCCACTTTCTTGCCCGTAGTCTTAATACCCTTTCCTGTGTTTGGGCTGCGGGACTTCATTCGAACTAATGAGCAAGATTGCGCGAAACTCTCTTTTGTGACCAGTCTTTCGCTGGCTAATGACAGCCATCTTGCACGTTGCTGCGTTCGATGAACAACGAAAGAAACGTGATTTCCGTTTGGTAATTAAACACTGCCCACTTTTTATTTAACAACCACACACACACACAAACACAAGCACACACACACACACACACACACACACACACATATATATATATATATATATATATATATATATATATATATATATCAAACGGATTTGGTTAAATAATTTAGGCATATCATGTCGATTAGTTTTCGCTGATTCTTTCACGTTCACGTATTAATTTCTTGGTAGCCTTAAAAAAAATTTCTTAAGAAAAAATGCCAAAATTTTCTTTCTAATAGTTTTTATTATCCCAAGTACTTTCAATCACATCTGAGACCATCTTCCGGGGGTTAAGTTCTCTGCGAGTATGTATATGTATTTTTATAAATTTAAAACATTTCAACTGTTTTTACTCCTTATTCAGCGTTCTAGATTCCAAGATTCAATGTTGACAAGCTTTTTTTTTTATTTTTTACAGTATAAGGGAAGTAACGTTTCGATTTTTCCTCATACATATATAATTTTTTCATAAGCATTTAAGGACTTTGTTGCTATACTCATAACTGACTTTATTTATTTTGGGCTTTCTCTTATATATAACTGGATGCAAATTATTTAACCAAGCTTGTTTGAATAAAAATATGCTGCCTAAATATATATATATATATATATATATATATATATATATATATATATAATTTATTTTTCTGATAATGTTTATCTTTAAATCTTTATACGTTATTTATATTGTCTGAAAAAACACACACACACACACGCACACACACACACACACACATATATATATATATATATATATATATATATATACATAATATATATATATATATATATATATATATATATATTAGTGGTAAATATACACATACATATGCAAAATATATAAATATATATACATAGGTGCATACACATACATGTATATTTTTTGAATAAAAATTCCAAGAGGATAGAATCCAGGTAGAACTCAATGTCTAGGACAGAGTAAGGATATAATAAAAAGGCTTATACACTAATATTCCATGGTCATAATTTATTCCATTGGAATCGTAAATACGATCCAATTCATCAGACCTACAAATTCAAAAAGAAAACAGAAAAAACAACTCCGGAAATAAAAACAGAATTTAGAGAGAGTGTAAGTATGAGAGTGTGGGACAAATGTTAGAGCTAAAGAGAGGGGTAACAGACGAGAGAAGGTGGGAGATTAAACCTTAACAGAGAGAATTTTAGGAGAGGTGAGTGGAAGAGGTTTAAGTAAGAGAAATATGAATGTTGTCGGATGTCTAATGCATAAAGATATATATATATTTATATATATATATATATGTGTGTGTGTGTGTGTGTGTGTGTGTGTGCGTGTGTATATTTTTCAGACAATATAAATAACGTATAAAGATTTTAAGATAAACATTATCACAAAAATAGATTATTATTTTTATATATTTATATATTTTAATTCAGTTTTTAAACGGTTAGTAAATGAGAGTATGCAATAGCCTACTTGTCCCCAACCCACAAATTCTTCATATAGCAACAGCGGATAGTGTAAATCGCTAACACTTTACCGGCTAGACTCAGTCTAGGCTACGGTCATTGACACGCGTTGACGTCTTATATTAAGTACCTATCTTTTTTCACCCTGTCATTAGATAAAAACCAGACCATTCCGTTCTAATTGTGAAAAAAGACGGAAGAGAACGATATATCAGAGAAAGGTGTTTAATTTCTATGAGAAAAAGAAAGCATGCATAATAATAACATAGGAAAATACTAAGGGAAGATAGAGAAGGTGATAATGCTCCCGTGTGTTTATCGTCTGCTTCAATGAAATGGAAAACCATGTCGATTTTCAACCTTTGTATATACTTAATTCTTTAAGAAATAACCAGCATAATAATATTGACGTTTATAATAATGTTTTGTTAAAGTTAAGCTTAAATATTTAACGATGCAATTGGTATATCTCCACGGGAATTTCCTAGTTGGCGAACTAGCAAAAAAGTTTAAATGAATAATTATGAGTCATCGGAAAATTCAAAGCGGAAAATAGAGAATTTATCACACTGACTCACCGGATGTCAGAATTGCTACATAATAAAAAGTAGAGCGGTGTCATTGCCTTTGCATATAGCTCTCCAAGTAATTTTGACACATCATTGTATGCATGTAGATATGTTTCTCTCTCTCTCTCTCTCCCCCTCTCTCTCTCTCCCCTCTCCCCCTCTCTCTCTCTCTTATACGCTCGCGTGCAGAGGTGAACAAATATAAAGGAACAGACAACGATACCTTTGAGTTTTCAATAGCTGGGCATGGACGATTATTCTGTTTAGAAGAAATATCTACCTGACGCATCTTTAATTCCTTCACCCCTTTTAGTAAATATTTAGAAAATTTCTTCTTAGCCCTCAATTTAAGTTGCGACCATTCTACGACAGTTCAAGTCATTACTGAAAATTATTTTGACAATTATGAAAACACAAATGTATAGGAATAGACACACACACATATATATATATATATATATACATACAGACAGATAGATAGATAGATAGATAGATAGATAGATAGATAGATAGATATGAAGAGACAAATATACTAATTGATAGACAGTTAGAACAGACTGAAATATATATATATATATATATATATATATATATATATAGAGAGAGAGAGAGAGAGAGAGAGAGAACTAATGATCAAGAGGCAGAACTTGAATTATAGATAGAGAACGAACGATTTGTTACAAATGCGAAACATGAAATGACATTGCAAACAGACAAAAAAAACAGGACTGCAAAAGCAGCAGAATGAAAAAGATATACGTATGTATATGAATAGATAGATAGATAGATAGATAGATAGATAGATAGATAAGAAACATAGATGTTTGTGCTTGTGATGCATATAAAAAGAAAATGGATAATTGTGCGCGAATTCTCTTTGAAGCTGTTTATTTTTTGATTTTGCACTAAGCCATTTGAAAAAGGTTAAAAATCATATAACCTTGTATCACCGCCAAATACAATGACCAAATGGATTGGCTATGCTGAACAGTTTACAGCATTTTCATTTTTAAAAAGCCAGGTTTCAACAATATATTCAGTTGCTAAATTTTATTAACAAAACTTGAAACTTTTGCACACACATACATTGTTACTGGAATGACAGTGGATAATGAGGATAAGTATGAACGCATTTAGAGCCGTAAAACAACGTGAACTTTCAAGTCAACACTCAGAGGCGACAGGCTGTTTCATGCTAGACACAATCGTCAGGCCTGAATTCGCTTTAATATTTACATTTACATACGCTCTATTTCTGATAATGAGCACTTTATCCCATAAATATAGCACACCTTAAAACTATATATATATATATATATATATATATATATATATATATAGATAGATAGATAGATAGATAGATAGATAGGCATAGGCATAGGCAGCCGGACGATTGTGCCTAGCATGAAACAGCCTCTCACCTCTGAGTGTTGACTTTTATATTTATGTTTACATACGCTATATCTCTGATATTGAGCACTTCATCCCATAAATATAGCACACCTTAAAACTATATTTCTTTATATATATATATATATAGAAAAGAGAAGCTGCGTAGAAATTGTTACTAACAATTATAAAGTGACATCAAATTTAAGGGACAAAAAAGAAGGAAGAAAGAAGGCTTGGAGAATTTAACACTTAGAAGACATGCCGAAGTCAAGTGAAGCAAAGGAAAACATCCAATAAGATACATTCAAGTTTTTGCAGCTAGATGGATGCAAGAGCACCAACATGCACGTTTTGGTTCATAAATGCTCAAGTACTGGGTGTGGTGGGGGGTAGCAGAAAACAAATTGCGGAGAAGAAGAGACGCAGCACGTAGAGAGAGAGAGAGAGAGAGGGGGGGATAGACAGATAGATAAAGAGAGAGAGAGAGAGTGTGCCAAAAATGTATACACACTTTAGGAAAAAAAAACTCGTGGTTTTATCAAATTCCAATAACAATGTCGACTGTAGTACACTATTTTCTCGACAGGTGAATTACATTAGCAGCCCTTAAACAAGAAAATTAAAATGCATGTGCAGCAATTGCACTGAACACTATGGCCCACGCTACCCAAGCAGTAGTTCGCCGTACGAACATAAATGTCTGGAAGCTAAAGGCTACCATTTTGAGAATTTCTTGTGGCTGTCAAGTCCAAACTTAACTTGTATTAATCTCGTGATATCCGAATAAATTTAGTTTTACAGAATCGATACAGTTTCTTCTTTCCTGAAGTGTGTATATATTTTGGTGGACACTCTCTCTGTCTCTGCCACTCTTTCTCTCTCTCTCTCTCTCTCTCTCTCTCTCTCTATATATATATATATATATATATATATATATATATATATATATATATATATGAAAATTTCTCAGAGTTAACCTGTAGAAAAGACAATATTTATAAATATAAATGACTATAGGAAAACTGTAGTTATTGCTGGCGTGTTTCGTCCAATGTGGACTTTCTCAAAGCAAAAAACGAAATGAATTTATTTAAAGAAAGTAACTAATAATAACAAAAAACAGAATGTCCTTAACAACTGGAAGAATGTAGAGAACGCTATTTTCATATTGTTAACTGACGTTATTTTAACTCTATTCTAGCAAAAGTGCCAATGTAAAGGGTTCCTAGCGAGTAGTAAAAAGGGAAAAATTCACTCACTTACCTCCTAAAAGATCGAGAGACAAAATGCTCTTTTTGTCTGCATAGAGACAATTGTTGTAATTTAATAAAAACTTTTAAAAAAACTTCTAATATGCATAAATCCTGAGCTGCCTGCCCTCTAAGACAGTAAACGAATCGTCACAATATACAGGGTGTATAAAAACTACTTTTACAAACTTTGGGCCCTGGTTCTTTACAACAAACAAGGACAAAATCCATATAAACTTATGTCCGTAAATCCTTCCTTTTTGAGTTAAGTTTAATAAAGTTTATCGTAGATGTCGTTGTGTTGCCATGTAGACAAGGTTACATTTGTCATTCGTGTAGATTTGTGGCTAGTCTGTGTTCAATGTGATTTAACTGAGAAGTGTTCGCTTTAACGATGGTAGGATATTCATATCGTGAGCAGATGATTTTTACATACAGCCTCGTTTTTGAAACATGAGAACTCTTATGTAGCGAAGGAATTTTTATTTTATATATATATATATATATATATATATATATATATATATATATATATATATATATATATATATATATATATTGCCATCCACAGATAGACAGTATCACAGCTTGAAGACATGCAATAGCTTCCAAGCCGGGATCGAAACCCGACTCCGTGTGTGTATGTATCTGTGTGTGTGTGTGTGTGTGTGAGAGAGAGAGAGAGAGAATAGGGAGAGACTGATAAGATAAAGCACAAATAGGAACGTTTATAAATCTAATTTGTTCGACTTTTATTAAAGCTTCATCAGTCTTTCTCTAATGAACCTTTACTAAAAGGGAAGCATGTTAGATTGACAAACGTTTCTTATTTGTTCTTTATCTAATCATGTGTGTGTAGGGGGGTTGTGTGTGTGTGTGTTTATGTATAGGATATGCCGGTGTATCCGTGGTTATTAATGGTGGTGTGCTTACGTTAAGATCAGATGGGTTGTGATATGGAGAAATATGTCATTGCTATAAAAGCGACGGTATAAACATGAATGCTGGCGTTGGAGGTAGGCTGGGTGTGACAGGTGATCTTCAGGCGGTCTTGACAGCTCAACAAACGTTTACCAAAAATGGTAATAAAGGTGAACGTTCGTCGCCATAGACAGGAGAATGACAGTCTAAAAATAAACGAATAACCTCTGTGTATGTTCTGACATCCTTTGCAGCTGTAAGCCTCTTCTGAAAAGCGTAATTGTAATATTAGCTTCTTTTTCCGTATAAGGAAACATTCGCATTCATAAGGCTCCAGTGCTAATATACAGCCTTTTTCTCACAAGGAAACATTCGCCATTCATTTAGGGAAGTATCCACGAAGCATGCCATCCCAGAAAGTGGTAATTCTTGGACAAAAGTCATTTCAGTGTAAATTTCTCCTTATATTTGAAATGCAGAACAAATGAAATGGATTCGACTCCGTGGAAATCGCATGGTGTTTCCTAGTTGCAACGGCTTGAACTGGCAAAGATGTGAATTAGTAAAGGTGTGAACAGGTAAATGTCTGAAGAGGTAAAGCTCTGAATTAGTAAAGATCTGAATTGGGAAATGTTTCAATTGGGAAAATTCTAACTTGGTAATGGATTAAATTGGCAAAGATATGAATTGGTAAATGTCTGAATTGATAAAATTTTGAACTGGTAATGATTTGAATTGCGAAAGTTCTGAATTTGTAAAGATTTTAATTGGAAAAACATTGAATTGGTAAAAGATTAGAATTGTTAATGGTTTGAATTGGTAATGGTATGAATTGGTAAAAGTCTGAATTGTAGACGTTTAAATTGGAAAAGTTCTGAATTGGGAAATGTCTGAATTGGTAAAAGTTTGAGTTGTGAAATTGATATATCTTCAAATTTATATATTTTTTTATCAAATGATGATAAGACACCAGCAGGATTTAAAAAAATGCAAATTTTGTAGTGATCTTATAACATATATATGTTATACTTTTGAATAAATTCTATTAACTCTACTTGGTATTGAGCACTCTTTTAAGAATAGTGTTTTTGGTTATTGGAATTTTATTCCATGTGTACCAAACTTGTACTTATATATATATATATATATATATATATATATATATATATATATATATATATATATATATATATATAGTGCTGAAACTTGGAGCCTAGACCGCAAAGATATGAATCAAATTGATACCTTTTCACATGAGCTGTCTTCGTGCCATATGTGATATAAAATGGGATGACAGGGTCAAGAATAGTGCAATACTGAAGAAATGTAACAACATCACAGGCACTGAAACCCTTCTAGCAAACATAGGTGTGCTAGATATGTTGTGAGAATGAATGAGCATAGGCTTCCAAAGAAGTTGCGTTACCAAACTCCAAGCGTGCAGTTGGACGTGCACTCTTGCGTTACAAAGATAAATTGAAAGACAACTTGAAACGTCTCAATTTTGTGATGAAAACCCGGGAAGCCCAAGCATCAAACTGAAAGGAGTGGCGTAAGGCATGTTTCATTAAGTTAAAGGGTTTTGAAGACAGTAGACTGAAGCACTGTGATCAGCTTCATCAAGCTCTGAGACACCATCAAAATCCTGCTTTAACAAATTTCATCAGTCAGTGTGGCTTTGT